AGGAAAACTCTTAATTAAAGCTAAACGGAAAATTTTCATGAAAACATCTACTTGCTGAATTTTCAAAACACTTGGCACAACAGATTTGCTCAGATCAGTTCGAGGGAGAGACTGGCCAACCACATACGTACGCAATACAACCCTATAATCTCAAGTTCTTTGGATTCCGAGAGAAGTAAAGTCCTTTACTCATACCCCAATAAGTCCCATTTTAGAGAATTTTCAGCATGTCAAATGTTATGAACACGGCAAATGCTTTTTTACAAGTGAAATCGTTCGCTTTTTTATTGAACTGAGTAACTCCAATGGAAAAAGACTATGGGCAATCAAATGCTTCTTCATCTCCGAATCATTACTGAGCATTCAACCCCTTCATGAATATTCCCCTGGATGACTGTCATTCTGGTGAACAGAGTAATACTGACCTGAAACCATCACTGGCGGATCGGTGTGACGAACATTGCTGATTCCAGCTCGGTTTTCACAGAATGAATGCATATTTGCACGAAAACGTGACAGCATATACGCCCGTCTTTCAGTTGTCTGAATAGTTCGCAGAAAAACTTCCTGTGAATCCACTGAAGCTTGAAATAAATAATTGAATAAAGATTCTGGTGACATACCATATCTAACACATGCAGTAACCTCTTTCCAGGAACAACTGGCAAATGTATTCCATTTGCGACTTTTGCTTCTCGAATGTCAGTTCGTAGAAAGTTTGCTGGATGTCTGAATTGAAAAATACTGTATTTATGAACTGTGGAGCTTGAAGATTTTCTAAATCGTTTCTCTTTTGGGGTCCGATAACTACTCAAAGGCCGCAAAGTTTCACAGCTAAACGATCAACTCCGGTCCATAACCGTGAGGGCTACAGGACCCACTGACAGCATCGGAAACCACTAAACACACTCAATGATGTTCTTTTTGCTGGCACGAAAACATTCACCAATAGTGGATGGGAAATAGTGGTGAACAGTAAAGGAACCACCCATTTCCAAAGGTAGGTTTGCAGTCAGCAAGTAATATAAAAAAAGATGAACAAAAAAATTTTAAAGCTGAATAAAAGAATATGGAGCTCTAGCTAACTCACAGCAATTTATAAGTCGCCATTTTAGAGACTCCGTCTACTTCCTTAGCCAACCTCTCCAAATAAACTTCTTGATTATGGAAATTTGACGCCGCTGGAGGTACATATCGACTCTGTGAACGAATAATTGAGATTCTAGACATAAATAAAATAAATATCAAGAAGGGGCACTTGCAAACCCTGAGTTACTCACCATAATTCTTCGAATGATCTCCTGTCCACGGAATAAAGGGCAGTCCTAGAAAGGATCAT